CAGGCCAGCTCCCACCCTACCCAGCCTGCTGACTGCAGGAGAGAGGCCTGCTGTTCCCCCAGGCAAGGTACCAGCTCCAGTAGAGGATGGCTTGGGGTCCTGAAGGCTGTCAGAGCCCTGAGCAATGGGGAAGGGGAGGCACTTGGGGCTCCAGCAGCACCTCCTTATCCCACCCCTCTCCTCTCCAAGGAGACATCACACATACCTCTGATCCCCCTTCATGCTCAGCATCGGTGGCTGGAAGCCCACTGAGGTGAAGGGCATGTAGGGGAGGTAGGGAAGGAAAACAGCAATGTGAGTATTATTGAAGAAGGGGAGGGTGCCCCCCGCCCCCTGCTGCACCCCCTGCCCTGCTCAGTGCCACCAGGCTCAGGGGTGAAGGGGGGCCATGGGGGGAGGTGGTGCCCGGCCAGCCCTGCGCTCCAGGGCCAGCTGCATGCTCCAGATGCTGAGTGGCCTCATGTAGGCTAGGGAACGGTACACCTTCTTCTCCCGATAGGCCTCAGGTGTCTGGAAAGACATGCCCAGCCGTTCCCAAACCGTCCGGTAGCAGCCCTCCGCTGTGTGGAAGCCTTCCTCCACCAGCCCCTGCAGCAGAGGGAAGATGGTCATCAGCCCTGCGCAGAGGGCAAGGAGGCGGTGTGTGCTGAGGGGTGCAGGATCACCACTCACCTCCTGGATCATGGTGGCAGCCAGGGCATAGACCACACCAATCCACACCTCATCAGACTGCACGCTGGAGGTGTCGGGCACCCCATCGGGTCTCATGCCATTCACCGCCCCCATCGTGCCACCAGCAAAGCCCATGACATTCTTCTCAAAGATGGTCTTGAGGGCACTGACAACATGACTCTTGGGGAAGACCTGCAGGGAGACAGAGAGGGAGCTTTGGGCTCAGGGCTCGCACAGACCCCTCAGGCTGAGTCTCCAGGGAGCAGGGTTAAGTTTTCCATTAGAAAGAGGTCAACACTGCTTGCTGGGTTTGCAGCCACCTCAGGAAAATAACAGAAGGAAGTGAAAAGGCTCTTTCCCTGAAAAGAAAAAAAAACAAGACAACCAAAACAAACCAAAGGAGTTCCTCAACAGGAGAGATGCTGAACTTCATTTCACTTTCCTCCTAAGGAGGCTCATAGCTAATCCAACTAGTGTCTCTCCATGAAGAGCCTCTCACCTTCAGTCACCAGCTAAGCCCCCCACATCTCCTGGGAGTTTCCTTTGGACACCTCACCAATCATGCCACCCTCATCTTGGTTTATCTTCACCACCACTCGTTTCTCAGGCTAGCAACTCTTTGAGGCCCAGCCCTTCCCCTGGTGAAACCACTGTGCTGTTTTCTCAGCCCACCTGCACCAGCTACAGGAGGCACTGCCATGCCTGCAAGAGATGGGACACTGGCCAGGGGTGGTCAAAGGACAGTCTGGCATCAGTGAGACATCTTCCTGCCACAGGGAAAGATTATGGGAAAACCAGTCTGATGACATTAGAATGCATCCTGCCATTGTAAAATCAATGTGGACACCAATGGTTTTTTTTAGGGAAATTCTGGGAATCTTGGGGGGGGAAAAAAAAAACCAATAGTAAAAAACTTTCAGCACCATTGTAAAATCAATGTGGACACCAATGGGTTTTTTTAGGGAAATTCTGGGAATCCTGGGGGGGGGGGAAAAAAAAAAACCAATAGTAAAAAACTTTCAGCTTGAGCTCAGGGGAAAAACAAAAAACAGGGCTTAGTTTTGAGCTTTCAGAAGAACTTTAGTCCTTCTGATTCTGTAATTGGGTGGTGATGCAAGAGTTTGTTGCCTGGACCAAGGGAAGTTTTAAGTGAGAGAAGGAACAGCCTGAGAATAAAGAGGTCAAACTGAGATACACAAGATGCCTGATCTTTTTCTGCATCAGATAGGAGAGATTTGAAACATAGTGAGAGGCTTGCAGAAGGTCAATAGTGCTTGCTGGGTTAACAGACATTTCAGGAGATTATCAGGAGGAAGTTAAAAACCTTCCCTTTCTGATAAAGGAGATATAAAAAATCTTGCTCAACAAACCAAGATCAAGAGCTCAAAACAGTTATGACTAAAGACTCAAGTATCACGCTAAATAAACTCTTGCTAAAAAGAAAAAAAGAAACCCTACAAACAAGCAAAAAACGACCTAAAACCAACCATTCAACCTCACCAGGCAGCCAAACAAAAAGCAGTGGAGCAGTGACGCAGAAAGGACTGCCCTAAGATGAAAAGCCTCTGTGCACAGCTGAAAGTAAATAAAGCTCCTGCACTGCTTCCATTATTGGCAATAAAACTGGGAAATGTCAGCACAGCTGAAGTCACTGCCTTGGTGAGAACAGTAAAGCTCAGCTCAAGACTCAGTCATGTTGCAAGCGCAGCGCTGGCTCGTCTCCATCCCAAGGGTGAGGAAGCTGTAAGAACTTTGCAGGGTGACCACGATCAGGAGTGATGCCACGGAGCAACCATGACATCTACTTGCAAGAAAGGGAAGAGCCAGGCAGTTCCTGGCCCATCAGCACAGCCCAGTGGGAGGTGTGGTGACACCAGATAAGCTTGCCAAGGCAGGCTGGGCAGTCCAACCAGACTGCTTTGGTAAATACAAAGGAAAGGCAGCAGATCCATTTTATCTATGCTAAAGCCAAGCATCCAACACAGCAATTTTTCCCAGTGTGGCTCTGGATATTAGCCCAAGCACTGCCAGGGAGCAGGAGTCAGCAGAGGGGTGGCGTGAAGGAGTCATCCCTGACAAAAGGTTTCAAGGCATTTTCTTCAGGACTGGGGTCACAGGCTTGTCCTACTTTGTATTTTATTACTGGCCCGTGCACACAGCAGGACTGCATTAATGAGATTACAAACAGGAAAGCTGCCAGCCAGAATGGGGATCAAAATACATGGAAAAACACCTCGATGGTGGTAGCGACAGGAGAGAGAAGTTCACCAGCCCCATGTCCAGTGAGCTCCAAGCTTACCAGCCAGCAGAGAAGAGTGCCACCTTCAGCAACAAAAGCCCAGGGCTATGTAAACGTATGCAAGATTTTGGGACTGCACCAGGTTTACTGATTCCCCCCAGAAGGCACATTTGGATATTAATGCATGAGGTGTGGGCCCAGATCCTGCCCAGACCCCAAGTCCTCACACTCTAGGGACCAACATTGGGATGAATGCAGGAGGGTACAATGAAGCACGTATTTCTTGGTAAAAATCACAGCTTTCTGCACAAGCTACTCCTAGGAAAGATCACCTGAAGCTCCCATCTGGTACCAACAAGATGGCAAAAGAGTCCACCAGCCCCACACAGCCAAAAGTCATTCCACACTTGTCACCTAAAGTGTCCACCTGTCCATCACTACCAAATATCTTTGTCTGATAACTCTCTATGGGTCATAAATAATCCATAGGATGGCTTTCCACTTCTCAGCTCTGCTCCATGTATTGCACCACCAGCAGCTGCTCTCCCCATCACATCAGACAAGAGAAGTCTTTAGCCAAGTCTTCTCTTGCAACTAAACAGCAACAGACTTCTAGGCCCCAGATAAGCCTTAGTTCCCTCGGATATATTGATTTAGGACTTTGAATTGGCCAGCAAGGAACACAGGGAAAGTTTCACACACCTTTTTCTTCCCATTTTTAAACAAACAGTGCATTGTCAAGAGGAAACCCCAGTGGGACCTTCCTCCAAGCCGTAGGACTGACCATGGTTACACATCCCTGCTGTGAGGCTTCTCCATGAGCAGATTTTGTTTTAAGGTGGGTTGCACCAATGAACATCCAACAGGTTCCAACTGAGCAGGCACTGCTGCAGGGGAGCAGGCTGAAGACCCCACACCAGTGCCTGATGCTCAACCCATGCCATGTGCAGCCCTGCTGCCCTCCTCTGGGTGCAGGTTCCACCTCATCCCACCTTGCACCAGGCTGCTCTCTTACCTCAAACTCTCCTTGGTCCAGACCACAAGCCCCAAGAAACCACTGCCCAGCACACTGGTCTGACATGATGCTGCTGGAGGTGTCGCTCCCGCTGCTGTCATAGTTGTAGTATTTTCCTGGAAAAAAAACCAACCAACCAAACAGGAAACAAGTTTTAAATCCCTAGTTCAGGACCCTGGCTGGTGTGTGCTGTCTCTACACTCCACCCTGTAAGGCAGAAGCATGGCGGCTTTTTCCAGAAACCACCACAGCTTTTCTCCTGCCTCCTTGATTCCTGCTCCTTCCCCTCCACTTGGCAGGATGGCATCTGCCCTCACCATCCCTGGAGGGATTTAAAAGACATGTAGATATGGTGCTGAGAGGCATGGTTTAGTGGTGGACTTGGTGGGCTTAGGTTTACAGTTGACCTGGATGAAATTAAAGGTCTGTTCCAACCTAAGTTATTCCGTGATTCTATTGCTCAGCTTCCCTCTCTCTCCCTTGTACAAGCTCAGTGCAGTGTGGTCTGCATCACCACCCCAAACCACTCAAGCTTTTCATTCCCAGAAAACTGTGCATTCCACACTCCGCTCCTCTGCTCCACAGCTTGGGAGTTACATAGGGTTGCACAGAGCTCCCACAAGAGACAGGGACCACAGTCCCAACTCGGAGCTACCTCCTCACCCCATGCTGCCTCATCTCCAGCCCCCACCTGCCTCCCTTGCTCACCTGGCTCCGCTTACCACCCACGCATCGTACGTCTGGTCAGCAAAGCCACCATTTTCAATGAGCCCATCGTTATCCGTATCGAACTTCAGCTCTGACTCCATCACAGCCTGTGGGAGAGGCAGGAGATAGTCACACAGCCCCTGCACCTGGGCTGCCCCTCACGCTCTGCCCAGGAGCCTCCATCCCCTGGGGATGCCCCCGGTGGTGACCTCCCGCCGATACCTGGCAGACTGGCCACATGTCCCGCAAGTACCGGGAGTCGTGTGTCAGGTAGTAGTCACGATACACCTGCAGCACAAACTTCAGGTTCAGGTCCTTCCAGTCAGCCGTGTCGTGCACCATGTAGGCATTGATGCGCTGCCACGGCTCGTCACCTGAGCACGGACAGAGCAGAAGCAGGAGGTGCAGGGAGCCACCAACGTCCCCTCTCACACCCAGAAGCGAGGCCCCAAAGGTGCTGCGATCAAACAGCACTGAAGTGACACTGCACCTGGTGCCACCTCTGGCAACACAAGCCTTCCCACTCCTGTTTTCCCGAGGAAAAAGTGATAGGACAAGAGGAAATGACCTCCAGCTGTGCCAAGGGAGGTTACGTTGGATATTAGGAAAAGCTTCTTCCCTGGAAGGGTTGTCAGGCACTACAACAGGCTGCCCAGGGAAGTGATGGAGTCACCATCCCTGGAGGGATTTAAAAGACATGTAGATATGGTGCTGACAGACATGGTTTAGTGGTGGACTTGGTGGGCTTAGGTTTACAGTTGACCTGGATGAAATTAAAGGTCTGTTCCAACCTAAGTTATTCCGTGATTCTATTGCTCAGCTTCCCTCTCTCTCCCTTGTACAAGCTCAGTGCAGTGTGGTCTGCATCACCACCCCAAACCACTCAAGCTTTTCATTCCCAGAAAACAGTGCATTCCACACTCCACTCCTCTGCTCCACAGCTTGGGAGTTACATACCCTGAGGAAGTTGGGTGAGCAGCCCTGCACCCTCTCTGCCCCCTGCCAGCTCGGCCAGACGCCTCACCTGGGTCCCCAATGTCATGCGGCACCACGTTCTTCAGCTTCACCTGGGCTGTCTGACCCCACATCAAGTACTGCCGGGGCTGAACATCCTCATTCACCACAGTGACAGCTGCACAGGACACAGGACAGAGACATTAGAAAGGCAGCTCGCACTGCAGCAGCAGGCTCTACACACAGGCACAGCAGGACCACCAGTATGAGCATCCCAGGCTGCACTTGGGGCTCCAGCTGCAAGATCACAGACCTCTGCAAAGGCCTGAGGGGACACTAGGCTGCTCCCAGTCACCCCTCACGAGGGGACATGCAATTGTCTCTACCCCATCAAGCAAGATGGTGGCAGCACCCAGGGCCAGGAGGGAATGGCAGTGGTCTCAGCCCTCCTAAAGCCTAGCAAGGCCTGTGACCACCACTGGTGGACCACTAGCGAGCAGAACCCAAGCCCACCCAAAGCCTCAGTATCCACAAACAGGTCCCTGCTTCTCTTCTGCAAGGGGCACAGAGACAGCCCATGAGACCAGGGACTCCCCCAAGGCAGGCAGAGCCAGTGGAGACCCCCAAAGCTGCCAGAAGGCATCTCAGTGCTGTGCAGGGAGATGTGCAGAGGCAGCAGCACTGGGGGTTTGCAAGTGCCAGGCCCAGCAGAGAAGCTGCAGAGGGAGAAACACTGGCTCCACAGTGCCAATGGCTATGGCAGATGCTGTCCTAACTCCTCCACCTCTTGCGCGGGTAAAGATAGTCATCAAAGCAGGGTCTCCTGGGCCACTCACCAATGTCATACTGCAGGCTGATCTGCAGCTTGGGCCACAGCATGATGAGAGCAAAGGAGGCGTAGAAATGGACATCGTATGTGTTGTACATCCGGTACTCCTGGCCTGCAAGGACGAGGGAGACAGCCCGGCATGAGACACGGGACACGGGGAGGGCAGAGGACGGGCAGCTCCTCCCTCCTGCACGGCCCGGGAGCTCTTTCCTAGCACAGGCAGGGGCTCCCACTACTGCCCAGTTTCATTGGCTACATCCAGCCCCCAGGGCTCTGGAGAAGACCTCATGCCGTGCACCTTGAATCCTGCAGTCACTTTTGGGCCCCCACTACAGGAAGGACACTGAGCTATTGGAGCAAGTCCAGAGACAGGCAGTGAAGCTAGTGAAGGGTCTAGAGCAGAGTCTTATGTCTTATGAGGAGTGTCTGAGGGAACTGGAGTTGTTCAGCCTGGAGAAAAGGAGGCTGAGGGGAGATCTCACCACTCTCTACAACTGCCTGTAAGGAGGCAGTCAAGTGGGGCTTGGTCTCTTCTCATTCTCAATAAAAGGGATAAGATGAAATGGTCTCAAGTTGTACCAGGGGAGGTTTAAGACTAGATATGAGGAAACATTTCTTCACTGAAAGGGCTGCCAGGCACTGGAACAGGCTGCCCAGGGAGCTGTTTGAATCACCATTCCTGAAGGGGTTTAAAAGACAGTAGATGTGGTGCTGGGGGACCTGGCTCAGCATCAGACTTGGCAGTGTTAGGTTAACGGTTGGACCTGATGATCTTAAAGGCCTTTTCCAACCCAAACGATTCTGGGATTCTGGGATTCTGTATCCTACAGGACTTGGTCCTGCAAAGGGTTTTGCTGGGAACAGTACTGCTCCCTGCACATCAGGGTGTGAAAACCAGCCCCATGGCAGGTTAGAAGACACCTGGTGACATGCTACAGGCAGGACCATCCATCAAGTTACCTTCCAAATAAGCAAACCTTCCGTACTCCCGCAGGACAGGGAGGAGGTGGGAGAGGCCAGCCCCTCCTGGGCCCTGCACGTCCTCAGCACAGCAGTCTGGGGGCAGCTCCACCCAGATGGTCCCCCCATCCGTGGTGAAGTACAGCTCGTTGAAGAGGGCTGACTTGTACCAGGAAGGCAGCTGGCTGCAGGCGAGACGGAAAGTCAACCCTTGCAGCCCAGGGGCTGATGCTCCTTCCCTAACCACCTCTAGAAGGCCGCTGGCTAGGAGCTCCCACCTGCCTTACCTGTCCTCCAGGATAGGCTTCTGCCATGCTTCGATTTTCCTCTCCCACTCCTCACAGTGTGTCAGGGCATGATGTGACAGGGCAGGAGCGGCATCGCCCCTGCTGCCGAAGAACCGCGTGTACCTCCTGCCAAGAGGGCCTTTGGTGAGTGCCCGGGGGCTGCAGCTGGGAAGCCCACCCAGCCACAGGACAGGGGCTGCAGTGCAGTCAACATCAGACTAACAGGACCCCCAGTGCAGGGGCGTGGAGGAGCAGGGGCTGGGCAGAGGGTCCCCTCCAGGAGCCACGGCCACAGGGAACAGGTAGGACAAGGATGTCCCAGGGGCACTCCAGCCTGCTGGCAGGGAGGAAGGGGGTTCAGGGACAGGGGCCACTAGAGACAACCCACCCACCGGAGGTGCAGCTTCTCCTCGGAGCCAAAGTGAATACGGGGCATGTCCCAAGCCAGGGCCAGCTCCAGCGTCCTGTGACCTCGGGCAGGCACCCTGCAGCTGGCACACACAGCCGCTGCTGTCACCTCCCCCTTCTCAGTCGGGCTGCTTTTACCTGCAGGGACAAAGAAACATTTGCAAGTGACCAAGGAAGCCCTGGGGGGAAGGGGAGAGCCTGGTCTGTGACCGATGCTCCCATGCACCCCGAGGAGGGATAAGAGTATTCAGATGTGTCCCAGCCCCCCTGCGACCTGGAAGGCACATCCGCAGGATTTTACGGTGACATGACCGCACGTGAGTAACTCCTTTCTGCAATCAGGAAAAAATACCTGCCATGGGCGGAGGGGTTAAAAAAAATAAGTCATCAAAGCAGAGGAACAGATCAGGCAGGAAAAGCCAGCAGGCACGAGTGGAAAGGAAGGAGCACCCTAAGACTTTTTTAACTGCTTTGCACTCAGACACTGACTTTCTAGTGACAGTCATTGCTTCCAGCTTTTTGCAGGGTGCTTTAACTGCACCCATACTTAGGAAAAGCCCTGAGGCAGATGGATAATTATATGCTGGTTCTGACATTTGTACCAGGTAAACTCATTAAAGCAGCAACTTTAACAGAAGCGCAGATCCTGACCATGATAATGCCTGGCATGCACAAAGGAAACCACATCCCAAGAGCCTGGGGAGTTCTGAGTGCATCCAGACAGGAAGTTTAGTTTTCCGGAAGTATTTATGTAATGCTTTATTTACATAATTCAAGCTTCAAAAAGTCCTGCAAAAAGCACCAGTATCACTAGTTTGTCAGCATTATCCTTGATCCAAAGCTGGCAGAGACATCAGGAAAATGGTCACCATGTGTTATCGCAATAAAAGGTTAGCAGCCAGGACTGGAATACCCTACCCTGCTTCAGAATTTCCACCAAGGAAACGACCAGATAACTGAGGATCATACAGAAATATCACAGGAATACCAGAGACCTTCAGGGAATAGATGTAGTAACAGCAGGACAGCAAGTAATAGCATGACCAAAACCCAAGGACTACTCCAAAATCCCACTAGAACAAAACTGACCACAGATCTGGCAATGGGAACTCGAGGCATCTGGGCACCACCCAGGCTACTCAGCAGAAATCTCAGCTCAGGGTGCAATCTTACACAGAGTAAGAAGATGCAGGCACGTGCAATTAACAGAGCTGAGTACAGCCCCAAAGTGCTGCAAACCGTCCCTGCAGAATCACAGTGAGGACCCTATGACAAGCACAGATACAGCCTAAAGCTGGGAATGAACCACATCACAGAGAGCTTTTCCCAGTGGCACCAAGGTGGCTGGAGGAAGGGAAATCCACCCTTGCTTGGATGCCCTGTGACATGGCCATCCATTTCCCTGGTCTCCCTCCACCCTTCCCACAGAGGACAGAGGGACTCACCAGTGGGGGAATCCAGCTTGCCATCCTGCAGGAGGTCCTGCCACACCTCTCTCCCCAATCCTGCAGGATTGAATGCTGTGAGGTAGGTGACTTCTGTGCCAGCCTGGGGAGGGGAAGAACATCATCAGGGGCCAGTACTTTTGAGGGGCAGATGCAGGCTGCCCCAACTCACCAGTTCTGGGGCCCAGACTCATTCTCCACACATTGTCCAGCAATCCTAACTCTAAATGTACTCAACCTGCTGTCCTGCAAGCTTCACCCATAGCTTCCATCCTGGCACCCATCCCCAGAGAGAGTGCCCTTGGACAAGTCACATTCCCACTCCTACCCAGCAATCAGGCAAGCACTGAGGACCTGTGCTGATCTCTACCCTCTACCAGCTGCCTGGAAGCAGCCCCTCCATGTTCAGCAGTGCTGCTCAACCTCCCCCAGCAGGAGCCACACCATCATCAGTGCCAGCCCTTTACCTTCTCCCGGGCAGAGATGGCAAAGGTGAAGGGGTTCACACGGGTGCAGTGGTGCAGCAGGACTCCAGAAACCTGCTCACCCTCCTTCTCAAAGGCAAAGGGCTCGTTCCAGTGCCCTCCACTCTTGTCATGCTTTGTTCCCGTGCCATTCTGCAGGCTGAACATGATGGAGACATCCACATCCTCATCCTTCCCGTTCTCCACCTCCCAGATGAACACTGCCACAGGCAGGCTGGAGTCCTGGTAAAGACAGAAAACACCATGTACAGGGTTGGTACTCCAGGGTTAGCTGTTGGAGCACCACTTTTCCCACTGCTGGGGAGACAACCAGGGATGCAATGGGAGAAAGAGCACCAGGAACAACCCTTCCTCAGAGTGTTGGCAAACTGGGGAGCAGCAGTGGGAGCAGATGAATCTGGGGATCAGGAAATACACAATTCAGATGACAAACCCTGGGCTAGTAAACCCCACACCAGGTGATACACAGGTGGAAAGCAGCATTTAAGGCTGAGATGGCTGTCTCAGCACTCATCTGCTCAACAGGTTGATACAAGCTCACGTGCTTTGCTGGGGTAAGAGGAAGGTCAGGCATGTCAGCACTGCAGCCTGCGCCCTGGCCTGGGGCTGGGAATGAGCAGGAGCAGCGTGTAGGAACAAAGAGACATCCTTTGCTACTGTTCCAAGCTTCCGCATTGCTGCAAGGGTTCCTCCTGCCTGGAAGCATTGCTGAGTGGAGACACAGGGAAATGTTGGGAAAGCCCAGCTAACAGGCAGCAATTCCTTTGAGGATGTCAGGGAAAAGCCAGGTAAAACACTCTTAGGAACACCCAGCTGACAAACTAACCGACAAGCACAGGCTGAGCGTTTCCCAAAATGCTACCACTGGATTACTTTGGGCAGTAAAGCCACAGCTCTGGACCTGCCAGTCCAGGTGGACTGGAGCTTGGATTGTCACAGGATAAAACAAAAGGCAGGGAACAAGCACTATAAAGAGTCAAAGCACAGGCCAGAGGGAAAAGGGGCATCTGCCAGAGCTAAGCACAACGCAAAAGTACCAATAGCCCCAGGAGGGACAAAGCTTTCCAGGGTCCTGCTGGTGCACACCTGGCAGACAGCACCAGGGACAAGGTCTCAGGACACAAGAGACCAGGCTGGGAAAGAACATTAACTAGGTTGCCTTCAGTCAATGCCAAGCTGGGCAGGAGGGACAGGCAATGCTCAGGATACAAAAATTCACTAGGTCCAAGCCTCTGCTACCCAAATGGGATGTGCTGAGCCAGCTCAGCCTCAAGGGCCTGTCCTGGGAGCATCTCACAGAACAGGCCTGTCTCTGCTTTGCCAGTCCCTTCCCTGCCATGCAGGCAGCTCTGCCATATCCCTGCCAACTTGCCATGCTGCTGCTGCATGGTGTGGCCTGGTGGTCCCACGGGACAGGCTGCAGCTGGCTTGGTGGAAGTATCACCTCCTTACCTTATAGTCATGGGGGATGACAGGAGAGACCTGGCGGCACGTGAGCACCACGTTTTGCCCTGGCAGCTCGTAGACCATCCAGGCACGGGGGTAGAGCGCATGGTAGAAGGCATAATGGCCACAGAAGCCCCAGTTCCAGCCCTGCAGGGTGTTGGGTCTCTCCACAGACAGGACCTGCTGGTAAACTGTCTGCCCCTTGCAACGCAGGCACACCGTGAACTGGGGAGGAGAGGAGGAGGTGGAGGGGATGAGTCAAAGAAGAGGTTCCTCTTCCGCCCAGGCTGCCCCTGGCAGAACCCACTGCGCCCACCTGGTTGGCGATGACCGTTTCGTAGTGGTAAATGCCAGGGTTCAGCTGCCAGCGGCAGAACTCGCCTTTCCAGCCACGGGTGATGGTGCCTCCCCCAATCCCGCCCAGCGGGCACCCTGGCAAAGACACCAAAAATCAGCACCCCTGCTCCTCCCCATGCCAGGATCTGGTGCAAGGATCCCCCAACGCTGCTCTGGGGGCCCCCTGGTGCTGCCTGCACCCCAGAAGCTCCTTGACCCTCTTCCCTCCTCTAGCATCTTGATGTCCGGATGGGAATCCCTGCCCATCCAGCACACTGGGCACTGCACCACCCCAGTGCCCAAACTGGAGGCTGACCGTAGATCTGCTGTAGAGGAACAGCACACAAGAGGTCAATGAAGGGACTTTTCTTCTCTATGCGGGTCTTCTTGTACCACCACCTGAAGTACCTGTA